TCTAGTTATACTAGCAAGTCAATGGGACTCTACCTTGTTGTGTCCTCATAGTCCAAGCTGTCTGAAACAAACACATTCCCTTCAAGGTCGATTTTAAACTTGACTGGGTTATTGGTCTCTTTTGTCTCACCAGATAACAATTCATAAATCACAGGAGACCCATCCGCTGCTACTGCACGAGCACTGAAGACTACGGTAAGAACACCAATATCTTCCGATACCGACTCATCAGGGTGGGGGTCTTGAATAAATTGTGGTGGATTGACCCTTGCATCGGTGAAAACTATGGTCACAGAGGTCTGTGCTTTCTGATTTTTCTTATCTCTCACATCAACTCTGAGGGATACCTCCTACAACAAATGTAACATAATGAATTTTTAAGAAAACATTTGTTGTTTAAATCTGAAATACACATATTTGGCAAAATTTGCATTATGATGCTTGTTTATGTCTCAAAACTGGCAATTAAATTTCACTAACTACTGTACAAACAAGTCTCTTTCTCTGATCTGTATCTTTGCTTCACCAGTTGGTGTGCTGTACCAAAAGACTTGCAGCAGATCTACAAAAGTACAGTTACACTTACGTTATCTGGGTAGCTTTCAAGACTAGATTTAACTTTCAGTGTACCATCGGATTCCATCTCAAAGTACTGATTATCAGGGTCGGTTAGTGAAAATACCAATCCGTCCTGATCTTCTAAGTCTGGGTCAAAAGCTTCCATTCTCGCAACAACTTCACCCACTGCTGTGTCTCTTGCAAGAGTTGCTAAATAGAGTATATTATGACATTCATGAAAGACATTACATAAATCTGTATATAAATCTCAACAACAAATACAGATTATAGAAAACCCAGTGTATCACTGATCCAGCATTGATAGCTGTAATTACATCAGTCTCAATGAAGACTGTCTCTTATACACATCTACGATCAGGCCACGAGACGATTGGGCCCATTTGCAGATGATCAAACTCAACCCAATTTTGAATCATCTTTGATGGGACTTTATGTCCTGATGCATAATTAAGCTGAAAATGCATAAAATATAGCTTTTCTAGAGACAGTAACTCCCAAAAGTAGGCTATTTTACTTGCTCCATGACACATATTTGTTTAACATAACCCACCTTCTGATATCGTTCCAAACTAAAATGAGAATACTGGATAGGCCTGGGCCTTCATAATTCTTGTGTTATATATTTAGCAAACTTTTAAAGCACCTCGTTGGTGTGCTAAAAATATTAATATTCTCCTGAAGACGATTTAAGCAACTCAATTGAAATGTTGAGACTTTCTCAACTACACCAGTTCTTTTCAGAACTACCTACTTGGTGTACTGCAAGCTTCTACATAATATTTTATTACTTCGCCATGCAAACTTTCAAACAATATTAATCTATCAAATAACGTTACTTTGATTGCCAATTCCTAATGCTGTCTCTTATACACATCTAGTCTTCATTTTGTGTAATACTTTCATGTTGCACAGCGCGTTGTAAGGCGTCACAGCGCGTCGCTACAGGAGGTGATCGCTTCATGAAAAAAATCTCCCTATTTTTTGGTTTTCAAACTTGGGATCTCTGTATATTAGACTTTTATTTGAGTGGCTTTGATATGTTTATCTTTGAACTGAAAACACCTCACCGATTCGATGTACCAGGAATTCAAGTTATGCGTGATAAGCCTATTTGCAGGATGGAGGAATTGAGGAGGAAACGTAGCGTTGAATAAAACCATCTTATTATTAATATTATTATTATTATTATTATTATTATTATTATTATTATTATTATTATTATTTATCTTTTTAACAGAATTATAAAACTCGAATTCGGACAATCCTATGATATTTCATTGAAATTGCAATCGTTGGACGATTTATATATATTGCTGGTTGTTATATCCTTCCCCATGACGAATAGGTAATCTAGCAACAGCGTTAGTGTAAGACAGGGATAATTATGTATATAATCCAAGTGAAGACTATATAGCAAATCAACGAGGTTGGAAAATTGTTGAATGTTGCAATAATTCGTCAGGTATGTTAATAAATGGTTTGAATAACTTTGACAATAGGATGACTTTCCGTCTTGGCTAGAGCTGGACTTTGTAATCATACTCATAATCGTGTTCGTGTAAAGACGTGTTTCAACTGAGGCTCCGCCAAAATTTTGCTACACTCCCAACCGAAGATAACAGCAAGCATAATATTATGTTTTTACAAAAGGTTAATGTATATACAAAGCATGGAATATTTTTGTAAGTAATATTAAAATATTATCCAAGAGGGTGAGCCATAAAACGAGATAAAAAAAAAACTCTAATGACCAAATGCCCATGCCTTATGCAGAAAATCCAGCTAGTGCCACGTCAGCAGTTAACGATTTAAACGCTTTGAGGCGTGAATTGAAACAAATGGTCTCTGATATTTACGTATACTGATTTACGATGGCCTAGCTTTTATTACCAAAGGCCAAATCGAATTGGATAAGCGGATTAAATTTGTGAAAGATAAACTGCAAGAAGTGGACCAATTTTTGGAATTTTACAATGATACTATAATGGAAATCGTCGACGCCCGATATAGTCTGCGGTGTACCACAAAGATGAATGTCTGTATCATTGGGAATAACCCGTCTCATTATGATCTTTAAGCGAGGAGATTGTATGGTTCCAATTAACTACCATATATTTATCGTTTCTGATGTACAAACCAAACTCTTCGATTTTTTTTTTGTGCTTAATAACAGACTTGTTTTGTGGTATAGGCCCATGGATGAATAAAGAGTGGCCCAAAAGGGCAAAGGGTGTTTGGAACAAATTATGGCCTTAAGTTTATTAATTGATTATGTAAAAACAAGGTGTAAATTGTTTCCTTTATTCATAGAATTTCTGAAAGCATAATATGATAAGTTACCAAGGAATACGAATCAACAGACGTTTACTATATAACTTTAACACAACATTTATTGACATAAAGGATCGACGTTTCGTGTCCATCATGGACGCATTTTAAAAAATCAAGTGAGCAAAATTAAACATACCATAGAGTGGGACTAAACAATCACATGGTTAACACTTAATATGTTAATAATAGCTCAGAAGGCTATCATGAAGTGGAAAATTGATTATCTCCATGATGCCAGAGTAATTATTTAAATTAGATAAACAATCTTGCTTTGATAGAGTCTGTCTGTTTGTTAAGTGAGGGTTTTAAATCTTTAATCCAGAGCATTTCTTTAATTAAACAATCAAACTTTGTTTTGCATAAGATTCCGAAGTGTTAAACAGCTTTAAGATCATTTATATCAAGGAATATTTATTTAATATAATAAGAAGTAGGATGTGGAGATAAAGATAATAATCAGAATGTTATGTAAAATATATAGTAGTACGTCATTCTTGCGTTGGTGTTAAGCAAGGATCGCATATTTCATGTCTGCTTTTTGTTACTTTTATTGACCGTTTAATTTTTAATGGTTAAGGGATCGTCGCAAGCCGATTTCCTTTCTTAATCATTTGCATATACTTGATGACAGTTCTTATTGGTCGTCGAGGAATTCATGTCTTTATAAACTTATGTTATGGTGTTGAATCAGGATAAATATTATTAACAATTAATGGTAACAAACCAGCTAACTGTACAATATAGGTTGAGAATATTGTTATTGAGTCATGTGAATCAAATATGTATTTAGGATTTCCAATTACTTAGAGACAGGGAAAAATTAAGTCTGTTATTGGTGCACGCTAGAACAAGAGGAAATAGTTAATTATTAATTGGTGCATTTTTAAATACAAATGCTAACTTACCATTTATTTTTTAAAAAGAGAGTACCTGAGACAGCAGTAATGTCCTGTTTATGGTGCCAACATTCTTAGTCCACTTAATTCTACTGGACCGGTTTCGTACCCGTCATAACTTACACATTGAAGAATCTGCGCTAAGCCTACACACTGAGGCCAGCTTCATGGACCTAGGAAACTCAATAAATGATATACAGCCAATAACTATGGCTGCACAATTGTTTTACCTAAAATCTAATATATTTACCTTTTAAATAATACCAAACATATTAATATTTTCTACAAACAAGATTTCCGATTTTTAAAAAAAAATTATTTTTCGTTTTCTCTGCTATTATACATTGATGTTATACTGTACCAATATTTACATATGTGTTCACAATTCATAACAATTATGTATTTAAACTTCATTTCCATATAAAACAAAATTAAAAGAAAAAATTATTGAATTTCATAAGCATACTTTTTTTATAGTAGGAGAAAATTGCACATTTCCAATAAGTATTATTTGTTTGTTTGTTTGTTTATTATATACTGCCCTCGTTACTATAATATCAAAACAAAAAACAAGTACATAAAAACACACAAAAATGAGAGCAAGAGGATAACCATTTAAGCTCTATGAGCTTGTTTCCATAGGGGTCCTTTACCAATAAAAGAGAAGCAAATATAAACATTTAAAAAAAATATGTTTTTATTAAATATTGTTTAGGTAAATATTTAAATGTATTATGGTTTTCAATTCTTTTAAACTAGTTTGTAATTCATTCCATTTTTTTTATTCCTTTATAGTAAAATGTCTTATCAACTTGTGAATTATTTGGAAACATAACATTTTTTGTTACACCTCATGTTTTATAATTATGATTAAATAAAATGAAATTTACATCAAGATACAATGGCGTTAAGTTATTGTATATTTTGTGCATGCACATACATGTGTAAACAAAAACACACATCTTTAAACTAATTTCTCCATGTCTATACATACATATAATGTATAATTATACACACGCACACATACTCACACACGCATACATACATACATACATACATATATACATACATATACATATACATATATAT